TTTAAAAAGAAAAATTTTTACGAATTCTTAACTCAAAATAATTTGCTAATTTTCGTGATTTTTCCATATTTTGTCAATTTTTGAACTTTAAATGCTTATAAAAAAAAATTGTGACTAAGGATTTTTAATATTTTTCATCTGCCTTTGAAACAACATATTAGGAGTCTTCTATTAAATTTTCAAGCTTTCGCAACCAATAAATAAAATTTTATTGATATTTTTAGAAAAAAAACTAAAAAAAAATGGAAAATGAAAATGTCCCTAAACAGTTCAAAATAAATCAAAATATTTTGAAAATGTTATCGTGTATAGAAAATGCAAATATAAACAACCAGTGAAAATTTCATGTATATACGTTCATTTGTTTTAGAGTTACACCAATAACCAAAATCGATTTTTTGGAAAACCAATTTTGCGTAAAAATTCCCGTTTTTCCTTAATTTTTATGTTGTTTTTCCCGGCGCTTGTGAAAACTACTGGGAAATTTATACTTTTGACCCCCCAAAGTACCAACTAGATTCACTTTCCTATCAGAAAAGCTACTGATGAAGAAAATCCAAGCACTTTTACTGTCCTAAAACGTGATGACAGACACAAAAATATAAATAAAAATATAAAAATATAAATAAAAAGGTGGGCAAGTGGGTGTCGCTCTGCTGTACAGTAGGTTACAAGTGGGTCACTGTATAATGGATGGTATTAAATTTGAATTCAATGATATAATATCATTGTATAAGAAAAACGATTCTTAGCGGTGACGGTATGTCAGTCTATGTATAAGACATATTATATACATATCTATAGTATTAAACAAAAAATTGACCTCTAATAGGTACCTATAATAAATTCCAAATTAATCATATCACAATATCCATTAGATACTTATAACACGTTATACATCAACAAAAACCGTGATACTATCATAGATATATAATAGTATACTTTAGAAGTTTCAAGTACCCACGAATAATATTATTCAATCACAACAAAATAACTAAAATAGTTATTCTAGGTTTTTTAATATGTAATTTCGTCCAAATTTGAATTTAAAATGTCTGTAAAAAATAAGTGTGTTCATATATTTTTTAGATTTTTTGGTTACAGTATGAACTATTTACGAGAACCTTTGTGTTGAATTTGCAATCCTTAGCTATAAAAACTGAACATTTTATAATTTATTATTTACAATGATTGATAATTTTCGAGATTTTGATAAATTTTGTCAAAATTTGATCTTTAAATGCTTATAAAAAAAAACTGTGCCTATGTATTTTTAATATTTTTCAACTGCTATTGTAACAATATATCAGGAGCCTTGTATTAAATTTTTACACTTTTTGGCCAAACAGATAAAACTTTATTGATATTTATAGAAAAAAAAACTAAAAAAAAATGAAAGCTGTAAATGTCCATAAACAGCTCAAAAAGAGTCAAAATATTTTCAAAATTGTATGGTGTATAGAAAATGCTAATATAAACATTCAGTGAAATTTTCATGTATCTACAGTTATTCGTTTTTGAATTACAACAAAATAAGGAAATCGCTACATGAGAAATCGAGTGAAAATCCAATGTTGTAAAAATTTGAATTTCAAACGCTCATAAAAATTTAATTTGACTGTCCGGTAGAGATTTTTTTATTGATAAAGGTAGATAATCTTATAAGGAATCTTGTGTTTCATTTTCAAATCTTAGATTTAAAAAGAAAAATTTTTACGAATTCTTAACTCAAAATAATTTGCTAATTTTCGTGATTTTTCCATATTTTGTCAATTTTTGAACTTTAAATGCTTATAAAAAAAAATTGTGACTAAGGATTTTTAATATTTTTCATCTGCCTTTGAAACAACATATTAGGAGTCTTCTATTAAATTTTCAAGCTTTCGCAACCAATAAATAAAATTTTATTGATATTTTTAGAAAAAAAACTAAAAAAAAATGGAAAATGAAAATGTCCCTAAACAGTTCAAAATAAATCAAAATATTTTGAAAATGTTATCGTGTATAGAAAATGCAAATATAAACAACCAGTGAAAATTTCATGTATATACGTTCATTTGTTTTAGAGTTACACCAATAACCAAAATCGATTTTTTGGAAAACCAATTTTGCGTAAAAATTCCCGTTTTTCCTTAATTTTTATGTTGTTTTTCCCGGCGCTTGTGAAAACTACTGGGAAATTTATACTTTTGACCCCCCAAAGTACCAACTAGATTCACTTTCCTATCAGAAAAGCTACTGATGAAGAAAATCCAAGCACTTTTACTGTCCTAAAACGTGATGACAGACACAAAAATATAAATAAAAATATAAAAATATAAATAAAAAGGTGGGCAAGTGGGTGTCGCTCTGCTGTACAGTAGGTTACAAGTGGGTCACTGTATAATGGATGGTATTAAATTTGAATTCAATGATATAATATCATTGTATAAGAAAAACGATTCTTAGCGGTGACGGTATGTCAGTCTATGTATAAGACATATTATATACATATCTATAGTATTAAACAAAAAATTGACCTCTAATAGGTACCTATAATAAATTCCAAATTAATCATATCACAATATCCATTAGATACTTATAACACGTTATACATCAACAAAAACCGTGATACTATCATAGATATATAATAGTATACTTTAGAAGTTTCAAGTACCCACGAATAATATTATTCAATCACAACAAAATAACTAAAATAGTTATTCTAGGTTTTTTAATATGTAATTTCGTCCAAATTTGAATTTAAAATGTCTGTAAAAAATAAGTGTGTTCATATATTTTTTAGATTTTTTGGTTACAGTATGAACTATTTACGAGAACCTTTGTGTTGAATTTGCAATCCTTAGCTATAAAAACTGAACATTTTATAATTTATTATTTACAATGATTGATAATTTTCGAGATTTTGATAAATTTTGTCAAAATTTGATCTTTAAATGCTTATAAAAAAAAACTGTGCCTATGTATTTTTAATATTTTTCAACTGCTATTGTAACAATATATCAGGAGCCTTGTATTAAATTTTTACACTTTTTGGCCAAACAGATAAAACTTTATTGATATTTATAGAAAAAAAAACTAAAAAAAAATGAAAGCTGTAAATGTCCATAAACAGCTCAAAAAGAGTCAAAATATTTTCAAAATTGTATGGTGTATAGAAAATGCTAATATAAACATTCAGTGAAATTTTCATGTATCTACAGTTATTCGTTTTTGAATTACAACAAAATAAGGAAATCGCTACATGAGAAATCGAGTGAAAATCCAATGTTGTAAAAATTTGAATTTCAAACGCTCATAAAAATTTAATTTGACTGTCCGGTAGAGATTTTTTTATTGATAAAGGTAGATAATCTTATAAGGAATCTTGTGTTTCATTTTCAAATCTTAGATTTAAAAAGAAAAATTTTTACGAATTCTTAACTCAAAATAATTTGCTAATTTTCGTGATTTTTCCATATTTTATCAATTTTTGAACTTTAAATGCTTATAAAAAAAAAATTGTGACTAAGGATTTTTAATATTTTTCATCTGCCTTTGAAACAACATATTAGGAGCCTTCTATTAAATTTTCAAGCTTTCGCAACCAACAAATAAAATGTTATTGATATTTTTAGAAAAAAAACTAAAAAAAAATGGAAAATGAAAATGTCCCTAAACAGTTCAAAATAAATCAAAATATTTTGAAAATTTTATCGTGTATAGAAAATGCAAATATTAACAACCAGTGAAAATTTCATGTATATACGTTCATTTGTTTTAGAGTTACACCAATAACCAAAATCGATTTTTTGGAAAACCAATTTTGCGTAAAAATTCCCGTTTTTCCTTAATTTTTATGTTGTTTTTCCCGGCGCTTGTGAAAACTACTGCGAAATGTTTACTTTTGACCCCCCAAAGTACCAACTAGATTCACTTTCCTATCAGAAAAGGTACTATTGAAGAAAATCGAAGCACTTTTACTGTCCCAAAACGTGATGACAGACACAAAAAAAAATATAAAAATATAAAAATATAAAAACACACATCATTGTAAAACCAATACATTCATCGCTCCGCTCAGAATCTAAAATATAAAAACATACATCATTGTAAAACCAATACATTCATCGCTCCGCTCAGAATCTAAAATGCTAATAAGCTGGCGAAAAATACACATACTTCTAGTAGTCCAATTTCAATTTTGAAAAATTATTTGAATTCGTCAGCCTCTTTTCTATGATTTGTAGGAAACCGATTTTAGATATTTTAGATAATTTACGTATATTACGGTTCCAAATGACTGCTTGATTTCTCAAATTTAACTTGCACTTTTAAGTGCTAACTAGACAAAAAGATGAAAAAGTTTTTCCTACAGATCATAGAAAAGAGGCTAACGAATCCAAATAAGTATTCAAAATTGAATTTGGACTACTAGAAGTATGTGTATTTTTCGCCAGCTTATTGGTCTAAATGCATGAAAAATCCAATCGTTTAGAGCCGCCTTAAGTTAAATAATAAGGAAAAATCTAGTAAATTAAAATTAAATATATTTCAGTAAATTACCACCGTCGCCTTTGGATAATCAAAACTATTGAAAATCAGCAGTCCAAATCATTGGTGATTTACACCGCATCATATCCGGAAAAAACTACACACACATTTTACAAAAGGCTCAGTGTATTTCTTGAGAACAAGCAAGCCCCAATATCATAGGCGTGCGCACGGGGGGGGCAGGGTGGGCAGCTGCCCCTCCTGCGAGCTGAAATTTTCTTCCAAATATTGTTTTTAAAAAAAAAAATTATAATGAATAATATATTAATTATTAATATGTAAATAACGAGTGATAACGAGTGTTTATAGATAGCGGCAATCACTGTGGTTTCACGGTAATCCAGACAAAATCGCGCCAATATATTCTACTATCAATTTTTATGTTAATTTCAACGCTATTAACATAAAAATTGATAAATAGCATCACTGTATGATGTTTTTCCAAATGATAATATGTGTCCCGGCGCATGCGCAGTATAAATAATGGTCGGGTCTCTTATCAATACCCGGATGGTCGGTTCTCTATACACAGCGTAATTTCAAAATTTCAAATTTGTTTCTTTTTGCATGTATTGAAAAATACACTGGAAACTATGAGAAATACTGAATCTAATTTTGACAATATTTATAAAAAAGTTATTAAATTATGTGAAGACAATCAAATCGTAATTCCACCAGTTAAAAAAAGAAAAGTTTCAAGTAAAGTTGATTGTTTTTCTAGTACCCAAAATTTCATGGATACTAAAGAAGAAGAAATGAGAATTACAGTATATAATGTTACATTGGATCAAATGATTAATGGTATTGATTTGAGATTTAGTCAGGAAACATTAAATATGATAAAAAGCATTGCCAATGTACTAGAATTAAATGTTGACGACAACGATATCACCATTTTAACCAAAACCTTTCATTTGGAAGCTGAAATGTTAAAAAGTGAAATAAGTCTACTTCAACATACAGATAATGTACCCAAAAGTACTATAAAAAATTGTGATACGTGGATAAAATGGTTAACAGAGTTTAATAGTGGAAGGGAAACTATATTCAATAATATATTTAAAATGTTAAAAATATTTATTACTATTCCTGTAACTAGTTGTTCTTGTGAAAGGGCGTTCTCAAAATTAAGCTTAATAAAAACCAAATTACGTAGTACAATGCATCAGGATCGACTAGATGGACTTCTCACCATGTCAATTGAACAGAAATTGGCCTATAATCTTAATATTGATGACATAATTGAACAATTTAAAATATTATCTCCTTCTGAGAGAAGAATGGTACTCTGAAGAAGTAAAGACTAAAGAGCTAAGATTTGTCTTTTGGTAAATTTTAAAGAATGTTTTTATTTTGTTTGTTTATGTACATATTAATATAATATAAATAAACTTTGAAGTTTCAATATTACTTTATTAAATTTGTAGTTAAATTAATGATTTTTAAAACTAAAATACTTCCATGACTAATATTAATTGAACTAACTAATAAAGTAACAACCAAAATAATATTTAACTATATATATAGTTATATATATATATATTTTATTACATTCTGCCCCCCCTGTCAGCATGGTCTGCGCACGCTTATGCCCAATATTGCATTGATCCAAGTATCCAATAATGTAATTGTAATTGATGCAGGGTTTGAGAGACGATATTTCACCTTTGTGAACAGCACCCTCTTCCAAAGTATAGGTACTCCTCGACTGAATCCAACATAATATAATAATATGTAAGCCAACACGTCGTGCAATGAATACAACAGGTACTTTATATTTTTGTGGCCGTTTAATAACCGCGCGACAGCGAGAGCGATGGATATTCGATCGTCTGCGGTGTTATACGCAATACGGCCATTATGTGTATATACCTAGGTATAATAGTATCGGTTAACCGCGGTTGCTGTTTCGCACAGTTTTATCGTGATGGCCGTGAAACGTCCCTATATCTATATTATGATAAAATAATAAATATATCATATTTATAATAGGTACTCATATATTTAGGACGGTGGCTTGAAGACGGGAGCGTGTGAGGTATAATCCGAAGCACATACCACTGCGCATACACTCACGTATATTGTTGTATATATACAGGGTGTAACAGATAGAACTGACTTTTGGAATAACTTTTGTTATAATCAATATTTAACATTTTTTTTTATCTATAATTTATAGTCACTTGCTCTACACATATATTATACAAAAAATTATTTTGATTTTTTAACACTGAAAATAAAACATTTTAAATTTGATTCAAATTATTTTGGATATATTCAAAATAGCCAATTTGTGAATCAGATTATAAGAACTATTTTGATAGTAAAAACATTTTGCTAAGCCAAGTAGTTTATTGTTTAGAATTGTTTGAAATATCCATATTTTTTTGATTAAATGAATTTGGAACGTAATGACTGTTAAATGAAAATATTATATAATATTAAAAAAAAAAAAAATATTTTGGGAATTTGCTGACTCGAGTATATTTCTTAAATCATTTACTAATAATCATATAATTTTTAACAATTTTTGTCATACCAAGCATCGTTTTCATTTCGTCTTTCTGTTACATCTTGTATAGGTACCTAGAATCTATATACATGTATATTATTAAACCCACTATATACATATATGCGTACCTATATAACAACGCGTGTATTATAATGTAGTGTGTTTCTCGCACCAGAGCAGCGTACCTATATAATATAATAATACACACTCACATGTTTATATTTATATTAAATTGTATATACACTGCACCGTGCACACTCGGAAACCATAATATAGTTTGATTTAAAGTTTTTTGGATATATTCAAAATAGCAAATTTTTGAATCTTATTATAAGAACTATTTTGATAGTAAAAACATTTGTCTAAGCCAAGTAGTTTATTTTTTAGAATTTTTTGAAATATCCATATTTTTTTGATTAAATTAATTTGGGACGTAATGACTTTGTTAAATGAAAATATTATATATTTTATATAAAAAAAATATTTTGGGAATTTGCTGACTCGAGTATATTTCTTAAATCATTTACTAATAATCATATAATTTTAACTATTTTTGTCATACCTAGCATTGTTTTCATTTCGTCTTTCTGTTACACCTTGTATACCTAGAACCTATATATTATATTATATATTATCGTACTCACTGTATATGCGTACCCAACAACGTGTGTATTAATGTATTATAATAATATAGTGTGTTTCTCGCACCAGCGCAGCGTACCTATATAATATAATATAATAATACACACTCACATGTATATATTTATATTAAATTGTATATACACTGCACCGTGCACACTCGGAAACCATAATATAATTAACCAGGCGCGCACGTGAATAAAATTATAACGTTCGGAAACGGACGGAGACACACGCTCGTTCGTAGGTTGATATACCTCTCATTATTGTATGTATATTTTTTTTAATTCAATGACATAGGTAACGTTATTCCGAGTCCGTATATGTATATTATTATATTGTGTACGGTGCGTGTGTTTAAATTTTGTACTATTATTGTATATCGTACTATGAGGCGATTTATATATTATATTATTATTATTATTATTATTGTCCTACTTCGTGTTCGCGTCTGTGGATATATACGCCAGAAATGGTATACTATAAGCCACAATATAATATATAGGTGTACCTATATAACATGCATAATGTATACACACTGCAGAGATGTACACCTACGTCGAGATCAAACTATATATAATAATAATGGTATATATTATTAGGTATATACCGCGCTGCTGCGGTTACCGTCGTGACGCCGAAACGTTTTCGTGTCCATGCGGAAGCGCTCCCGTCGTCATCGCCCGTAATTGGCGATAACATAATAATAAATAATATAATAATATAAAGGAACGCTGGCCGTCGCCCATCAATCAACCGCAAGTTTCGAATAGTATTTACTATATATGTATATCGTCGTTGAAGAACCACTATAAAAGCGTTCTTTTGAGCATCACAATATAATATGTAATAATAATATATATTTATCCGTCGTACGTGTGTACAATGTATATATGCATATACACATTATTACATCCGCGACGACGGGTTCACCGGCACTAGCTATATATTTTATTATTATATACTATAATAGTAGCTGCAGTACAGTCGTCGAGGAGAATATTAAACGCGAATCTGACGATTATTCGGTTTTTCTTTCTATTATTTCATCGCCACCGTTCGTCTTTTTACCTCCATCCCCCCTGTCATCGTCCGCTCGGACCGCGGACGTTAAAGTCATCACTGCATTTGTGGACGATCGATTCAAATTGATAGGTTGTCACGACATGACACAATATATAAACACAGCTGAGGTACCTTCCGTCTTATACCTATATATATGTACCTATACGTTTTAATGAATAGATCCGGTCGAGTAGATCGGCTGACTCGTTAAGTTTTCAATCTCGACACGACCGTCGGCGTAACTAAGTACCTATAGAGGTACAGGTGGTTCTTTGACAAGCGATATTACCTATATATATACGTCAGTGGACGTGTGCGTGTGTGTATGTGTTTGATTGTTTGTGTGTGTGTGTGTGTGTGTAGCCCGTGTAGGTATTGGAGTGTAATTACGAGCCGAAAAAAACCGAATGAATATCCAAACGATTTTTATTTTACTACCCATAGATATAACACATATTATGCGTATATATACGATAACACACGTTCGTCGGACAACATATCACTTGTACCTATATTATATTATATAGATAGAATTCGTTTTGTACAAACGACCGCGTATAGATTACGAATGATGTGATTATTTTATGATGTATACCGGGTGATTGTTTGAACGTAACACGCACTCGATCGTATTTTTGAAATACATAATTTGAAGTCATTACAAACCCAATTTTTTTAAAATTAAATTTGCACCATTTATGTACTTTTTATGATATTTAAGTTTTATACTTTTTTGAACGACATACATAATATTGACTTGCAGAATAATAATCTCATATTTCAAAGCATAATATTTCTTCAGAGTATCTATAACGATTTATAAAAATCAAATTTTAAACGAGTAGCGTATTAGTTATAAATTCTAATTTATATAAGTATTTAATGTTTAAATGAGCGATGTAGTGACCTAACGTTATACGGAGTTCCCCTGTGCTGCTTCACTTGATACATCTAAACTCAAATAATAATACCTAAAACTCCATAGGTATATATAGTAATATGATACGAGTAATACATTCAACCAAATCAAAAATTTTAAAATTTAAAATAATTATTATTTTGTAAGAACATATAGGTATAATGACTTTAAATTTGATTAACAAATATTTTAAAAAACTTATTGTTGGCTTTGAAGAAATGGAATAAAAGTAATTCATTAAAAGAATCACCCGGTATATTATGTTATATTATATTACCAGCTATATGAAAACACGACAAGCATATCCTACTCCGATTATCCTGCACATTCGTTTTAGGAATATATTATAATATATACATTTTTTAACGTCTCAATTGGTCCATTAAACGAACATACAATACATTCATAAATCGCATATATATTATATTATTAGGTTTTAACACTTTAAACGTATCTAAAATACGGCGTCTGTAAGCAGTTATACCTATTTTATTTTTATGCCGCAAATTTGTGCTCCTCAAGTCGATTATAAGATATTGAAGTTTAAAGTTTTATACCAATATATAATATGTCCTGCACTGTGTATACCTACCACTACCAACAGCATTATAATTTATACTCGCAATATAATAGTGTATAATATCGGAATAAGCGCCATTATATTATGTAGGACAGCAATAATTTTCATTCGATTCACTAATCGTACGATATTGCAGTCTGCTGCAATATTGAAGAGTAATCGACTTGTGATCGCATTCTATCATATAGACAGATTACGAAGAAAAAAGATGATCGAGTATAATATATATATATTGGTACCGTGGGAATAAATTATTGCTATACATTATATTGTACTCACATTATATAAGTGTTATAAATCGCGGGTGTGTCAGCGTTTGCAGGAATGTCATCATCAATATGAAATACTGTATAATTAGTTGCGGCTCCGTTTAAAAGTTAGTTGGTTCAAGAAACATTTTTAAACCCGCAACTGCGTTAGTTTTACTTATAGTTAAGAGCCTGTTAACACGAAACAAGTTACGTATTCACGATATCACTTTAACATTGCATGACAATAACGGATATATCTCGTAAATTAGACACATTTTGATTGCAATAGCGAAGCATCAACATTTCACGCTGACTCGTAAACATTA